TGGGTGTTCTTTCTAGTGAGGTGAGTCTCTTGAGGGCAATAGATAGTTGCCTGATGATATTTTATCCATTTTGCCATTCTATGTCTTTGCAGTGGTGCATTTAGTCCATTCACATTTAGGCTAATAATTGAAATGCAAGAGTACGTCCCTCTTATAAGGCTCTTACAGAGTTGTTCCTGTTTGTTTGTTGTCTTTCTTTGGGTTTTGGAGTTGGCTCATGTGTGTTTTTAATCTTTTGCCTGTACTCTTGTGAAGAATGTTGTTGTCCTTTTTTCTTGTCTTGATGTCTGGGTTTGCTGCATGTGACCAGTCATTCTGGGGGCTCTTCATTGTTTGTGTTCCAGAATCTGTTTTCTCAGTGTCTGATCTCCTGGGGTCTGTGTGACACCTATATTCTTCTTTTGGTTTTTCTTCATTTGTGCAGTTTTTCTCTCTCCCTACTTTTTCCTTTACTCCACATCACCGTCTTCCTTATTTCTGTTATTCATGGGTAAAGGGATTGGTTTTACTTCTGTTTGTTCAATCTCCTATTCTTTATGTATGCCCTCTTACTTTGTTCAATTATGGAGTTGCACTGTAGGTTCGGGATGGTTCTTTCTGCAGTTTTGAGATTTACTTAAGGGGGGAGCTGTGATTCAAAATCTATCTGCAGGTCCTGGTATTCATGGACAGGTGTGTGGATAATCTGGAACCCACTTCCCACTGCCTTGGAATCTGCCCGTGCAGTGGGGCTGTAGGTTTACTCCCTGAAATAAAATGTGATCAGCAGAGGGAAGAGAATGGAGCAGACAGTGGGTTGAAGAGGAGGGTGAAAAGGTAGAGGAGTAAGGGTGGAAACAAACGAGTGTGCCAACAAATGGAGAGAGAGACCTATACTGAAACAGATAAAAACAATAGATCACAGCTACAGATGAACCAACTCTCATACAAAAAAAAATAAAAATAAAACATATAGTGATGCTAACATACAAGCTAACCAACCACCTTGTTAGTGTGCTGTTCCTCTATACAAAGATATGGTTTACAGAGAGAAGAAAAGGAAAAGGAAAAAAGAAAAAAGGGAACAATACAGTAGGAATAGAATTAAGTCATTAAACTAATAGAATCAATGAAGCACACTCTAAGACATTTCGTTTAAGTACAATGTCCTTTCAGGTCTGATTTCTAGTTTTCTTTTCAAGCTGGTAAATTAGTTTGCAGTTAGGGTCAGTTGCTCCTGGTCTGCTGTGAAGGACAGTACAGATTACACTCCGTTCAGCACTTTGGTCTGTCTTTATCAAGCTTGTTTCTCCTGTTTCAGTATTGTACCTTGAATCGCCAGTAGGTGGTGCTATCTCAGCTGCTTGCCCCAGAGGGGGTGGGGCCGGACAGGAACCAGCAGAGACTGGAGATGGATGCTTGCCTTAGGGCAGATGGCAGAAGACTCACGGTGGGCAGGACGTCTCAGTCACAGGAGAGGTGGCAGTGATCCCATCAGATCTTCCCTGAAGGGGCTTCAAGGACTGAAGTCGTGCATTGCCTCCAGCCTGGGTGGTGCAATGTGCTACTGGCAGCAGCGGCGGGCGGTGGCGGCGGCATCTGCGCTGCAGTGGCTGTCCAGTCTGTTGCGATGCCCCAGCGGTGGCAATGGCTGAGCTCCGTGTGAAGAGCAGGCTGCGATGTTGTGGTCCACAGTCCCCGGGGCGAGAGCCAGAGACCCACTGCAGTTCTCCTTTGCAGAGGGTTTCAGAGACCAGGTTGCCCCATTGCTATCTTGCTGGAAGTCCCCTTCAGAGTTTCAAATGGTAGGCTGACTCTCTTATTAGGGCCTAATGAAGCTGATGACTTTAAGTAGAAGCCAATGCTTATTTAATATTCTCAAAACTCAAGAGTCCTTAAGAGTTATGCTAGCCGGGCTCAGTGGCTCAGCCTGTAATCCCGCACCTTTGGGAGGCTGAGGTGAGTGAATTGCCTGAGCCCACGGGTTCGAGACCCACCAGCGAGACCTCATCTCTACAATAAATCAAAAAATTAGCCAGGCATGGTAGCACACGCCTATAGTTCCAGCTACTTGGAAGGCTGAGGCAGAAGGATCGCCAGAGTCCAGCAGGTCGAGGCTGCGGTGGCTGGGAGCGGCCACTGCACTCCAGTCTTGGCGACAGAGTGAGACTCTAACTCAAAAAAAAAAGAAAAAAAAAAGAGTTATGTTAATCTGCTTTGCCTGTGCTTTTTTAATGAAACAACAAAGCCTAAATGACAAAATATCTGTTTATAGCATGGTTTCCTGAATATTTTATGACCATTGTTGAGAGCTACTAATCAAAAGAAAAAAGATTGCTTTCAAAATATTACTGGTCATTAACAGTGTACCTGGTAACCCAAGAGCTCTGGTAAAGATCTGGAGGTAGATTAATGTTTTTATGCCTGCTAGTACATCCATTTTTACAGTTCATGGTTCAAGGTGTAATTTTAACACTCAAATCTTACTACTTATAAATACATTTGTAAGGCCATCCTAGATAGTGATTTCTACAATGCATCTAGGTAAACTGTATTGAAAACCTTCTCAAAAAGATTCACCATTCCAAATGTTATTAAGAAAATTCATGAGTCACGACAAGAGGTTGAAGTATTAACATTAACAAGAGTTTGAAGTTGATTACAGTTTTCACAAACAATTTTAAAGGACTCAAGACTTCAGTTGAGTAATTAACTGTAGATGTAGACATAGAAAGAGAACAAGACTAGAAGCGGAGCCCTGAAGATGTGCATAAATTTTTGTAAAAACTTGAGCAAACGAGTTTTGTTTGTTTTTTGTTTTATCTAGGGTAGAGGGATGAGAAAAGAAAGTTTTATTTGAGATAAAATCTGCTACTGATTAAGATGGTAGGAGAACTGTTGAAATGTAATCAAATGATTTAGAATATTACTTCAATAATATAAAGTAGCATCAGAGTTTGAGAGGATTAGCTCCAATTTTGAAAGAAGTTCTACTGTTGGTAAAATGCTATGAAACATCATCATATGGTACAGAAAAATATTTCATGAAAAAATAATTTAATTGATAGAGCAAACTTCATTGTTAGTTTATTAAAAAATTCCCAGGGACACACCTCATTAATTAGGAGGCACACACCTCATCAATAAACGTATTGAAAATATTTGCATACCTAACCCTGAATTGTACCCCACAATTTAAAAATAAAAATTAAAAGAGGAAAAAAAATCCCCAGTCACCACAACTTTCACCAGCAACCACTTAATCAGTCAAAAGCTATTAATAGTGAGGCAAGATCCTCCACCAGTAAAATATTAACACTCACAGAAGCTCAGATAATCACTAGCGTTTTTAAGAAGTAAAATTATTTACAATTTAAGTATATAAATTGTTTTGGACATGTTATTAAATGTTACTGCACATCTAATAGTCTAAAAAGTATTATAAGCATAACTTTAATATGCACTGGGAAAGAAAAATGTGATTTGCTTTGTTGAGGAAATATAGAAACAAACCTACAATATTTTTGAGATATGTTCGCATGACATTTCAAATATGACATTTTTTTAAGTCAACTTTGGACATTTAAAGTTACTTTCAGTCGCTTTTCTTTGATCACTGTTATACTTTTTTTGGGGGGGGGGAGTCTGAGTCTCACTGTGTCACCCAGGCTGGAGTGCATTGGCATGCTCAAGGCCACCTCAGTCTTGACCTGCTGGGCTTAGGCGATCCTTCCATCTCAGCCTTCCAAATAGCTGGAACTATAAGCACATGTCACTGTGCCTGGCTAATTTTTAAATTTTTATTGTAGAGACAAGTTCTCACCAAGTTGCCCAGGCTGGTCTTGAGCCCCTGGGCTCAGGCAATTCTTTCACCTCTGCTTCCCAAAGTGCTGGGATTACAGGTGTGAGCCACCATGCTCAGCTTGATCAATCTTATACTTTTTATTGTGGATTAACCTTTGAAATATTGACTCTCTAATTGCTTAAAATGGACTCTTTCTTAAATAAGAGCTAATATTATGAAAATTAAAATTACCTGAGCATTGGTAGTTCAAGGCAGCAAGTTAGGCACAGGGAACAAGTCTATTTGCTTGGAGGTTTAGAGAGACTTCTAATTTCTGGCAATTTCAAACTGAATACCTTCAGTAAAATTTATTCATTATCAAATTAAAAGATGGGGCTTGGTGACCTTCAAACACAAAAATGTGATGATTCTAACAAGAGGTTCTCTACCCTGTGGTGTATATTACCACCAACTGTCATTACTAGAATTCTAAAAGAAAATAATTTCATCAGAGAATTTCCTTTTCTATTAGTTGCAATATATATATAAAATAGAAATAATTGACTTGGTTATTTGCACCTAGTCATTAATCTGCTTTTAAAAACCTAATATTAATACTATGAATATCCTTTCCTTCAAGACACGCCATTTGAAGGCAACATTAAAAGAAGTAAGTGTGCAATAGTCACAGTATGTATATGGGTCAACTCAAAGAGGATTTTGTCAAGGATATAAATCAGTCAGGGAATTCTGACCAATAAAATAATGGCTTACCAATTGAAATAGTGAAGTGTAATAAAGGAGTAACAATAGACTGGCTTTGGTGGGATACTTCCTTATAAATTCTTGATTGTAGATTAGAAGCCATAGAGATGTGATTTGATGCAGCCATTGTGGGGTAATCACCTGCAAATCATCTGAAAAAAATGAGTAATAAATTTATTTGTAATTTGGAGTTGTATTTTTTATGTTGTGAAAATACATTTATATATTACTGCCATTTCTTATATTCTTCCTTTCTTCTATCCTTTCTTCTGTCCTCCCTTTCTTCCATCTTTCCTTCCCTTTTTTCTTTAGCTTTTTATATATTATTGATGCCCTTTTCATATAATATCTAAAAGTCATATTATTCTAGAGGAAGGACTTAAACGTTATTTTTTTTCTAATTGTTTATTATATACAATTGGTGATGTGATTTTTCTAGTTAAATTATACACTAATTCTTTTTCTTTTTTAGGAAGACCCACTACATTATGTGAGACTGTGGGGAAAGCTGAAATGTGGTTAATTCGAACATACTGGGATTTTGAATTTCCTCAACCATACTTACCTAATTTTGAGTTTGTTGGAGGATTGCACTGCAAACCTGCCAAAACTTTACCTAAGGTATGACTATTGTATTCTGGGATATTATGTACTTTATACTATAAATCTGCCTTTCATTGAACAATTGCATCCTTAATTACAGAAATAGGATGCTGAATATTTTCAACTTATCTCTCCATATTCATTTCCATGTCACCGGGACTCTAATGGTTGCTATATAAGGTCTTATAGTCATTATACCGAACAATTAAGCTTACAGAAGTCTTAAAATATCAATGTTGACTGTAATGTGGATAATAAATCACAGTAACAGGAAATTAGAGCCATGGGAATCATTAAGGTGATTTCTCTAGTCTCCCTCACAATCAAGTCAGCTTTATAAACAAACACTTTTATCATGATGTAAAGAGATAGGCATGACTTCTTGAGATATTTTGGGGCACATTCCACAGGATTTAGTAAGTGAAAGGAAGTGTTGAGAGAAGAGAAAAAATTCAGAAAATAAACCTAGATTTTTACTTTGAGTGTTTAATGATAGTGATGGCTTCTATTAAATTAGAAAAAAGAAAAAACAACAACTTAGAAATAAGACTTGTTTGTGATTAGTACAATTAATTATGTTTTGTGACCATTCACAAGGAGGAAGTGGTGGGACTTTCAGGGAAAGTTTTACAGAAATTACTTAAGGCAAGCAAGGTCTTAATCTCAGTAGACAGTAATAGAAATATTGAATCATTATCATAACACAGAGCTCAAGGAAATGCAAGAGCCAAAGGGTGAATTAGTTATCTTCCAGCCTCATGGCAGGTCTCTTTCAGAGTGAAAATAAGATTGAATATGATATTCCTAAGTCTTCAAAGAAAAAAAATGTGACATTTAAGCAATGTTGGAAGAAACTGTATTGAAAGGCAAAAAGAAATCATTGATAACTGTTGATTCATTTTGCTTTGAAAATGTCTTGATGTTCCTGTCCCGAAAGTAGCAATAAACTCTAGCCTTGCATTGACAGAGTTGTAGGGTATTTAGTCGTGGATGTAATCTCCCTTTCACAGTTTGTGAAATGTATTATCAAGTGTCTCTCTAATAAGAAACTTGTTATACTCACACTCACACTTATAGCTCTTGTCTGATCTGTGTTTCTATTATTTCTACCAAGATAAAAACTCTGTCGGAAACCCTGATCAGGACATATGTTAGGTTTGTGTGTGTTGGTCAAATAAGACACAGAGAAGACAATTCAACAAAACATATGACATAACTATGAAGAGCATTTACAACTTACAGTTTCTAGAGAAAAGAGTTTGGCATGCCTCTTAGGACCAATGGGAAGGAGAAAGATTTCTGAACAAAAATATATTCAGTTGAGAGAAAAAAAAAAGTTAGGATTCTGCTGGCCAAAGCCTTTATTAAGTTCCTGAACGTTACCTGGGTGGGATTCCAGTGGGAACTTGTGATTGGTAGTTTCAGTGCAAGCAGACATAAGTTCCACTAAGTAACTCTGTGACTGAGAAGTGGTCACTATATAGATTATGTGAGTTGTAAAGAGACAGTGGTTCAATACAAATAGGTTGTATCTAGCTGTTTCATAGAATCATGGTTACCAGGAAGCAGTTGTACAAGGTAAAATCCTGGCTACATTGAGGAAGTGCGTGAAAGTGGAAAACCTTAAACTGTGTCAATATTTACTAAATCCTGATCTTGTATGAGAAGGTACAACTTCCATTTTAAATAAATGTCAGGACAATATAAAATTATTGAATTTACTAAATAACTGTGGTAAGGATAATGCGTTTAACTCACTGGAGTGAAGAGAAAATACTCACTTTTTATATTGAAGGAATATGAGCAAAATCTTTTTAGGATGGTTTCAGGGCCAACAGCATAACCAGAATTATTGATTAATTTTTAATAGTATTATGTGTATTGATAAATAAAATGTTATTTTGTAATTATGAACATTAATATTGTTCTTGTTCTTACCAGAAAAGGTTAGCTGAAAATCAAGCTCTCTTGAGGCATGACATAATAAAATTTTATCTACTTAGAGATACAGAGAGAGAGGTCGCAGTTTCCATCAGTCTTTAGATAATCTTCTATGTCAAACTGCTCTTTATTTTTAAACTTTTAAACACACATGCATACACACACACACAAATTATTATAGAAACCTTATATTTAAAAAGTGGTAGAGGAAAACAGTAAAAATTTATTAAACAGGAATTTTGTGCTAGTAATGCAAAAAAAATTTTAGACATTTTTTGGGTCTTTCAAGAAATGCTCATTTTTAATTTTATTTAAAATTGACAAAATAATTGTATATATTTACGAGGTACAGTGATTTTAAAATACATGTATACATTACATAATGATAATATTCAGGTAGTTAACTTGTCTGTAACCTGAAATATTTGTTTCTTTATGGTGGTAAAATTCAATCCTTTTTCCTAGCAATCTTGAAATATACATTATTATTAGCTACAATTACACTACAGAGTAATGTAACAGCAGATCTTATTCTTTCTAATCTTAACTTTGTATTCATTGACCAACCTTTTCCTATTCTCCTCCCTCCCTTCCCTCCCTTCTCTTCCCTGTCTTCTCTCTCTTCCATGCCATTCCATTAAAGCTAGTTGCTTTTTTTTAAATTCCGTGTGTAAGTGACATCATGTGGTTTTTGTCTTTCTGTGCCTAGCTTATTTCACTTTATGTTATGCATTCCAGGTTGATCTATGTTTCTGTAAATAATAAGATTTCATTTTTAAATATATCCCATTGGGTTTTTATACCACTTTTCTTTATCCATTTGTCCATTGATGAACATCTAAGTTTATTCTTCTCTTTGTAATTGTGAGTAGTTTCATAATAAACATGCAAGTAAAAGTGTCTTTTTAATGTACTGATTTATTTTCTTTGTATATATACCCAGTAGTGAGATTGCTGGATCAATTGGTTGTCTTATTTTTAATTTTTTGAGAAACCTCTAGACTGTTTTTCATAATAGCGGTACTAATTTACATTGCCAACAACAATGTATGAGATTCTCTTTCTCTGCATTCTTACTAGCACTTATTTTTGTCTTTTTAATAATCATAATTATAGCAAGGGTGAGGTGATAGTTCTTTGTACTTTTGACTTGCATTTTCCTAATGATTAGTGATTTTGAATATTTTCTCACATACTTGTTGGCCATTTGCATGTATACTTTTGAGAAATATCTATTCAAGTATTGTGTTCATTTTTAATCAAATTATTTTTTTCCTTTTGCCTTATTTGACTTTTGATATATTTGAGAAATTAACTCCATCAGATGCTTGGTTTACAGATATTTTTCTCTCTTTTTGTAGATGTTTTTTCACTCTTCATTTCATTTGCTTTGCAGAAGTTCAATATTTGATGTATCCTATTTGTCAATTTTTTTTTTAATTTTCTTATCTGTGCTTTTGAGTTACTATAAAAAAAAATTCTGGGTAGGGAACGCACATAGCATCAATAAGGGTACCCACACTTTACCTGTATGATAATCACATAAGCACCCCACATTTTAAAAATAAAATAATTATTTTTAAAAATCCTTGCCAAAACCAATGTCATGAAGCATTTTTCTTACAATTTCTCCAAGTAATTTGATAACTTTGACCCTTATATTTTATTCTGTCATCTGTTATAGTTAAATCATTTATATGGTGAGTGAGGGGTCTAGTTTTATTCTTCTGCACGTGGGTATTTAGTTTTCCCAGCATCACTTACTAAGGATTGTCTTTTCTCCAATGTGTGTTCACCATATTTGGCTCACAGGTTCCCAGGCTACTTTTACTTATGACTGAAAAGAAAGACAATCCAGTATATGCAAAGATCACATGGCAAGAGAGGAAGTCACAGACCAGAGAGAGGGGAGGTGCCAGGCTCTTTTTAACAACCAGCTCTCATGAGAACTAATAAAATGAGAACTCATCACCTTGCAGAAAGGGATTACATTTATTCATGTGGGATCTACCCTCATGACACGAATGTCTCACATTAGGCTCCACCTCCTACAATGATTTCCAAATCCAATATGAAGTTTGGAGGAGTCTAGAATCCAAATTCTAGCCGCTTGTAAATGCATGGATTTTTAAAGGGCCCTCCATTTTGTGACAATGGTGTGAATGTTTTTATACAGTACCATGCTGTTTGGTTACTTTAACTATGTGATATATTTTGACATCAGGTAATGTGATGTCTTCAGTTTTGTTCTTTTTGGTCAAGATTGCTTTGAGTATTTAAGATATTCTTATACTTCTTATTATATTATTTCATTATTGGTATCTTATTCTTCATTATATTTCAAATTTATTCTAAGGTATTTTATTGTGTGTAGCTATTATAAAAGAGATTGTTTTCTTGTTTTTTTAAGATAGTTAACATTTAGCATATAGACACACTACTAATTTTTGTATGATGATTCCTGCAAATTTAATTAATTTGTTTATTAATTCTAAGAGTTATTTGTGGCAGACTCTTTAAGTTTTTCTGTATTAAAAATAAAATAAAATAAAGCATTGTCTAATTGCTTTGTCAGTATAGAGATAATTAGACTTCCTCCTTCCCAGTTTAGATGCCTTTTATTTCTTTCTCTTGGCTAATTGCTCTGGTTAGAAATTACAGTAATATGTTAAATAAGAGTAGTGAAAGTGGCCATTTTTTATTTACTCCAGATCTTAGAGAAAAAGCTTTAAACTTTTTTCTGCTCAACATGGTGTTGACCAGGAGTTTTGTCACATAGGGTGTTTTCATTTTGAAGTATATTTTGCATTCTTAATTTGCTGAGTTTTTCATAAAGAGATATTGACTTATCAAATGCTTTTTCTGCATATACTGGGATTTCATATGATTTTCATTTTTCACTGTCTTGATGTTATGTATCAAGCATATTGATTTGCATATGTGGAACCATTCTGGTATCCCTGGAACAAATCCAAGTTGATTATGTTGTGTAATCTTAATGTGCCATTGGATTTGGTTAGCTAGTATTTTATTAAAAATTGTTAGGTGAGAGGATTGTCTGAGTCTGAAGGTTCAAGACCAGCCTGGACAACATGGTGAACCCTCATCTCTACAATAAATCAAAAAATTAGCTGGGTGTGGCAGCACACGCCTATAGTTCTGGCTACGTGGAAGGCTGAGGCCAAAGGATCGCTGGAGCTCAGCAGGTCAATGCTGGGGTAGCGATGAGCATGCCACTGCTTTCCAGCCTGGACAAAAGAGTGAGACTCCAACTCAAAAAAAAAAAAATTATTTCTATACCCATTGAATCTATTGTCCTATAGGTATATAGTTTTTCTCATTCTTTGGTTTTGACATCAGGGTAATGTTACCTCACAGAATGATTTTGCAGTATATTCTTTTCTACAATGTTTTGGAAAAGTTTGAGAAAAAAATTGATATTAATTCATCTTATATGTTTGATTGATTTTAGTACTGAAGCCATCAGTTCATTGTCTTTTTTTAGAAAAGATTATTTATTACTAATTCAATCTTTATACTCCTGATTTCTCTGTTTATGTTTCTATTTCTTTATAATTCAATTCTAAGTTGTATTTATTCAGGAATTCATCAAATTCTTGTAGATTTCCCAATTGTTTTATATGCTTTTCTCTAATAGTCTCTTATAATCCCTTTTATTGCTGGTAGCAGTTATGTTTTCTTTTTTATCTCCCTTTTTATTTACTTAAGTATTTTCTTGTTAGTCTAGATAAAGTTTTGTCAATTTTGTTTATTATTTCAAAAAACTCAACTCTGTTCATATTTTATATTGGTTCTTATTCCTGTTTCTTTTATTTCTTCTTTGATCTTTGCTATTTCTTTTTTTTTCTAGTCATTTTGCTTCTTTTTTTCTAGATCTTTGAGGTATTTTCATAGGTTGTTTATTTGAGATCTTTCTACTTTTTTGATGTGAGTGTATAAACTTCTCTCTTAGACCTGGTTTTGCTGTATTTGTGTTTCCATTTTTACCTGTCTCAAAAAAATTTTTCAACTTTCTTTTTAACTTTTGTAGACTCATTTGTTGTTCATGATCATATTTCCATGTAGCTGTGCTGTTTCTTAGTTGTTTGTAATGTTCTCTCTGGTGTTGGTTTCATTTTATTCCATTGTGTTCAGAAAAGACATATGAGACCATCATGATTTTTTAGAATTTATTAAGACTTCTTTTGTGACTTAGCATATGGTTTATCTTAAAGATTGCTGCATGGACTGTTGTGAAGAAAGTGCATTCTCCAGTTGTTCCGTGAAAGAAATGTTCTATGAATGTCTGTTAGTTGTTTTCTTTTACATATTTTTAATTATTTTGGGGTGGTACATTTTAACTCTGGTGTTTCTTTGTTGATTTTATTTCTGGATAATTTATTTATTACTGTAATTGGAGTTCTCTGGTATTATTATGTTATAGCTATTCTCTCCCTTTAAGTCCAATATTTGCTTTACACATTTGGCTACTCTGCTTTAGAGACATACACATATTCTTAATTATTATATACTGTTGCTGTAATGACCCCTTTTTCATTCCATAATTGTTTACTTTGTCTTTTTAAAAATTATTCTTGACTTAAAACCCTTTCTATCTGATATAATTATAACCTCTTCTGCTATTATTTTTTGGTTTTCATTGCCATGTAATCTTTTTTTATTTCTTTACTTTTAGCCTATAGATGTCTTTATGGGTAAAATAAACTTTTTATAAAAAGGATATAGTTGGGTCTTGTTTTCTTGCTATTCGTTTACCTACTCTAGGTCTTTTAAATAACATAATCTATTTACATTCGAGGATAATATTAGTACTAAAGAATTTACTATTGCTATTTTGTTGGTGTTTTCTGATTATTTTAAAAATCCTTTTCTTTTTGTCTGTCTTATTTGTAGTAAAGTATATTTTTTAGTAGTATGTTTTGATTCCATGCTATTTATTTTTAGTTTATCTATTATAGTTTTTGCTTTGAGATTTACAAAAATACTTTATAGCTATAACTATAACTACACAGAAAAGAAAATGAATGAAAAAAACATAAATTTAGAAACCATTTCTCCACCAGTTTTACTTTTTGATTTCTCAGTTTTAATGTTTTACATTGTCCACATCTTAACCAATTGTAATTATTAGTCTTTAAGAGGTTTATTTTCAATCTTTATACTAAGTATATAAATGACTTTCATACCACAACTATAGTATCAAAATTTTCTGAATTTGTCTTTATAATTAGTTTTACCAGTGCTTTTTATACATTCAGAAGTTTTCTTGTCATATGTGGGTACCTTTTTCTCTCCAGTAGAGGAATTCCTTTTTAGCATTTATTATACGACAGTTCTGGTGTTGTTAAATTCCCTTAGCTTTTGTTTGTCTAGGAATATCTTTCTTTTTGTGCTTTGAGAATTTTTGAATGACAGGACTTTTTTTTTCTTTTCACCTTCCACACTTTTCATGTATTATTTCTCTTTCTTCTTGACTGTAGTTTTTTTTTTTTTCTTTCCCTGAAAAATCTGCTAAAAGCAGTATTGGGATACAATGAAAGTGACATAGATATTTTTTCTTGTTGCTTTTAGTATTCTTTCTTGTCTTTGATTTTTGATAATTTGATTATTATGTGTCTTTAAGAATTACTCTTGCTGGGTGCTGTGGCTCATTCCTGTTATCCCAGCAATTTGGGAGACAGAGGTGAGAGGGTTGCCTGAGTATACAGGTTGGAGGCCAGCCTGGGCAACTTGGTGAGACATCATCTCACTATAAATTTTTTAAAAAATTAACTTGGCGTGGTATTTGGAAGGCTGAAGTGGAAAGATCACACGAGCACAGCAGCTCAAGGCAGTGGTGGCTGTGAGCGTGCCACTGCACTCCAGCCTGAGACTCCAACTCAAAAGAAAAAGGAAAAAAAATTCCTCTTTAGGTAAAATTTGACTGATGATCTCTTAGTTAAATGCTCCTAAAGACGGTTGTCTTTCTCTACATTTGGATTACTTCTAGCCTTTTTTAAAAAAAACATAATTTCTAGGCCTTTTAATAACTTTTTTCCTTCAGGAATTCCTATTATGTTAAGGTAGTTTGCTTGATGGTGTTCCATATTCATGTAAGCTTTCAGTGTTTCTTTCTTTGTTATCTTCTCTTTGGGTAATCACTTAAACTCTTTTTGAACTAACAGACTCTTTTCTTTGATCAAGTTTATCACTGAAGTTTTCTAATTAGTTTTTTAGTGCAGTTTTTTTCCTTATTTATAAAATTTTGATTTATTGTGTTTTTTGAAATGATTTCTACTTCTTTGTCAATTTCTCATTTAGTTTCTGGATTATTTTCCTTTTTTAAAAATCAATATATTTGCATTAATTGTGATTCCTGAACTTTTTAAAGAGATTTATTTTAATTTTTTTTTGATATTTTATAGATCATCAAGCCTTATGATACTTTATTAGAGCTTCATTGGTTATTTTTTGGGGGGTGTCATTTTCTTTCTTTTTAAAATCTTAATTCTTGCATTTTACATTAGTGCCTATATATTTAAGGAGATAGCATCTTATTCTAGTTTTTGTAGGTTTTCTCTGATGGTGTTCAGCCTTTACTACTTAATATCATAACTTAATCACTGGGTCGAAGTGGCTTTCTGTACTGGGGAGGACTTAGGGCTGGCACAAAATATTAAATACAGCAACAGAACTAAATCTCTTCCCCGCTGTTGTTTTCAGTCTTTTTTTTTTTTTTTTTTTTTGAGTTGGAGTCTCACTCTGTCGCCCAGACTGGAGTGCAGTGGCGGTTCCCGGCCACCAAAGACTCGACCTGCTGGGCTCCAGCGATCCTTCCACCTCAGCCTTCCAAGTAACTGGAACTACAGGGGCATGCTACCACGCCCGGCTAATTTTTTATTTATTGTAGAGATGAGGTCTCACCAAGTTGTCCAGGTGGGTCTCGAACCCGCAAGCTCAGGCAATCCACTCACCTCAGCCTGCTTTTCAGTCTTAAGAAGAATTATTGTGAGCATTAAAATGTGCATACTGCACCAAAATTTAAGCCCAGATCTGTTGATTTGAGGGTCTGGGGGAATTTTAAGTAATCCCTGGACTTAATTGCTGACTTTGGAGTTGTTTCTGTGTCAGGGAAAGCCTCCACAAAAGCCCCTGGGATATGTGAAATATCTAGCTAAAGATATAATCTTTGTTTTGGATTTTTCCTCCTGCACTGGTATGGTGCTGGCCAGTCTCCTTAGTGTGGAGTTCCTACTAATAGGAACTCAAAACAGTTGTCAACATCTGAGTGCCAGGCTCTGTGATTAGTGATCTTGCTTTTTACTTCCAGCTCACCTAATACGGTTTAGCCCAGCTGGCACTCCTAATGTCTCCTGTGGAATGGAACAAAAGCAGGCTTCCCAGAAATATTCAAAAACCAGTGGGAAGATTAAATGTCCACCTGCAATTTCTTTCTTCTACCCTCATAAGTATAGGTACAGTGACATTATCTATGATAGCTGCTATCTTGGTTTGGAGACCAAGGTGGCACAATCCAAAAACACTGTTGTTTTTGCCCATAATGAATTTTCTTAAGTTTCTGTGAACTCAGACGTTTTTCTGCTCCTCTTCTGAGTGCTAGTGCTTTCTAGGTGGTACTCTTACATTTGCATAGCTGCTACTTGTACTTTTTGTGGGGATTGATGATCATCTTCCTGATGCTGCCTCTAGAAATGTTTTTGAGTTAGCAACCATTTAATTAGAATTTGGTAACTACCAAATAAGAAAATAGCTATAATCTTTTTGCTTAAGTTTTTTGTTAACAACTTGGTTGTATGCCTTTTCTAGTAATGAATGATTATGTACTAAGCCATATGTTTCACACACAAATGTCAACATATGAGATTCGATGGCAAAAAATGTGTGAATACAGGAATGACATAACTATACTTCCAACAACCCATCATATATTTATAAGTACAAGTGTATTTTATTCTTTGTGATGTTGCATGTTTGTAATACAGAAAATTTTTTGACTGCAGGAAATGGAAGAATTTGTACAGAGCTCAGGTGAAGATGGGATTGTGGTATTTTCTTTAGGGTCAATGCTTCAAAATCTTACAACAGAAAAGGCTGATCTCTTTGCTTCAGCCCTTGCCCAGATTCCACAGAAGGTCAGTACAACCTCCAGTTCTGATTAGCAGCTATTCACACAGTGAAAAATATATGGATTTTTATTTGGATCTTTAGTCTCATTTTCCACTTATCATAACAGACATCAAAATTTGTACCAAAATGTGTAAAGCATTGTAATAGTGTATTTGGCTCAATTGATTTTTTGCCTACCGAGTCTTGCTCTTATTATGAAAACATCTCTCTTTGTAGTTGTTTGTTTTTAATTTTTTTAAAAAACAAAAACACCTAAAGCTTATAGCTACAATTCTAGAATTTCAAATCTGCAGGCCTGTGCTGATATTTCAAAAAAAAAAAAAAAAGAAATGTATGAGATGTGATAGCTCCAAGGAACAGAAAAAGGAGGAAACTGATATAACAAAGATAGAGGAATTATACTAAAGAATATCCTCCACATATTTGGTTGTTTTAAAACTCAATCCGGTGTACTCTAGCATAGAAGTAGAACTTACACTTAGTTATTCTTTCTAACTGATTAGAGTTTTATAGAGTTAAAAGGCAACTACAATTTTAACTTTATAGTCAAGCAATCTGCATGTAATAATTTATGATACTCAATTAGTTTTAATGTTATTGCCATAATTCTACATCTAAATTTTTAGATAGTGCTCTTTATAAACTATTCAAAAAAATTTTTTAAATTTATATTTAGTTAAATTGTATAAAACCTTATAAATACAAGTATGCTGATTAGGGATGTGAATGCTTTGAATTTTAATAATAAGATTCTCTGTTGGGTGGTTTAAAACATCTATGCCATTCTTTCTTTTTAAAATCAAGAGTTTTACATACGTTCCTCTCCCCAAAATCTATGTAACTGAAAGTACAAATTCAAACAAAATTCGACATTGTACAATAAAGTATAAGTAACCCGTCTCCTTATTTCTTAATAAAAAATTAAATAAATTAAATAAAAAAATAGAGATGTAGACAGGGATGAAAGTAAGAAGAGAAGGAAATCAATTATCAAAAAAATTAAAATATATTATAATTGTGGGAAACTGTACATGTGTTAATAAACCTAGGATGACAGAGAGACATAAATTTAACCACAAATTGTATGCCTATAATTTTACTTCTCATATATTAATTGATTAGCCAGTACTGCTTTATTTTTATTTTTATTTATGCCCTTAAAATCTTGATCCTCAATTTAAACAATTTTTTTTATTTTAAAGATGTGAGGTACAATTCAGATTTAGGAATACAAGTGGTCATCTTACAGGTAAAGTTTGGGCCTCCCTTTTGTCCCCACTTTGCCTGGTCTGAGATCAGGTATCCTTATTGATATTATGTGCCCCGCCCCCCCCCAGCAATGTCCCACTATTGCCAATCCCTTTCTTATAGTATTGTGGTAAATGTTCAGGGTCTGCTTATGAGTGAGAACATGTGGTACTCAGATCTTTGTTTCTGTGATAAATCAGAGTCTGACAGACTCTAAATCCAGTCAAGCTGCTGCAAAGTCCATAATTTTGTCCTTCTTTATGACTGTGCAATATTCCATCTTTTAAAAATCCACCTTTTTAAAATCCAGTCCAGTTTTGATGTTTTAATTGATAAAAAACAAAATGACAATAGTATACTTAATAGAGGACTGGTCCAAATTATTTTAGAAAGTGATTGTAGACTGTCAGTGTTTGCACTGTACTTTTATATGTTCGTCTCTCAACTATCACCTGAAGTAGATTGAGTTTACGATTTATAAATACCCTGCAGTCCCAAAATGTGATTACCTTTGACTTAACTTGTAATATAAATGTGTTTTCTTCTACAGGTTTTATGGAGATACCAAGGGAAAAAACCAGCCACATTAGGAGCCAATATTCAGCTTTATGATTGGATACCTCAGAATGATCTTCTTGGTATGAAAATGTAAATATACACAATTGAATGAGGGACAAGAAAGCAAAGAACTGTTTCATGGTTAATAAATTCAGCAAATATTTAAGGATTATAAAACTTTTTATTTTGCCTCCAGTTTTGAAAATGATGGAATTAATAATTGGCCATTAAGTTTATACTTTAACATGATCTATTGTTAATGTAATAATATCAGGCAATGAAGAAATATTTTCTTATGATAGTAAAAATATTTGGTAACAATGCCGATAAATACAAGTATGCCGATTAGAGGTGTGAAAGCTTTGAGTTTTAATAATAAAATTCTCTGTTGGGTGGTTGCCTTCTTTGATTAATTATTTCATAAGTTTTTCCTTTTTCCTTTTTTATTGTTTACTCTTTGGTCTCTGAAATTGTAGTATATCATAATAAAACCCTCATCATTTCTTATCTAATTCCTAAACTAGGTCATCCCAAAACCAAAGCTTTTATCACTCATGGTGGAATAAATGGAATCTATGAAGCTATTTACCATGGGGTCCCTATGGTGGGAGTTCCCATATTTGGTGATCAGTATGATAACATCATTCACATGAAGGCCAAAGGAGCAGCTGTAGAAATAAACTTCAGCACAATGACAAGTGCAGATGTGCTCAGGGCTTTGAGAACAGTGATTTATGAACCTTTGTAAGTACTACTGTTTTAAAGGTTGAAACATCATTAATTATATTATACATCATGCCAGAAAATATTAAAGAATATGTTTATAGACTTTTTAAGAGATCTTTCCACACAATTTTATACTGTTAACAAAGCACATGTCACAAGAAGCAATATTTTTCCTCAACAAGCTTTTTGGCATGTATAACATATACCATGTTTACCTACTTATCTGTTACTATAACAAAAATAAAACTTTCTAATTTATGTGTGTGTTTTTGCCTTCTAGTTATAAAGAGAATGCTATGAGGTTATCGAGAATTCACCATGATCAACCTGTAAAGCCCTTGGATAGAGCAGTTTTCTGGATAGAGTATGTCATGCGCCACAAAGGAGCCAAGCACCTGCGGCCAGCTGTTCATGATCTCACCTGGTTCCAGTACTACTCTTTGGATGTGATTGGCTTCCTGTTGGCCTGCATAGCAACTGCTCTTTTCTTGATTATAAAATGCTGCTTGTATTCCTGTCAAAAATTTGGTAAAACAGGAAAAAAGAAAAAGAAGGAATAGATTTTTTCCAAATTTGGGAAAGGCCTGAATAAAGCAATCCTGTTAATTTTAGCCACAAATAACTTAACAAGAACATATCACCTTCTTCCCGTTTATGTATTTTCCATCTAATATTTTATTCCACTTATATCATATAGAATTCAGGAGATCATTAACTTGTGATTGGATTCCTGCTGGTTGTGTGGCAACTGCTATATTTTTGGTTACAAAATATTGTTCGCTTTGCTGTGTCATAGTTGGTAAACAAGGAAAGAAAAAAAAGAGGGAACAGATCTTTCCAAGGTTGCCAAAGACCTGAATGAAAAGAAATCTTTAATTGGAGCCACAGATAATTTACTAAGAATATTTCAACTCCTTCCTGCCTTCGTATTTTTCCTTCTAATACCCCATCCTAACTCTATAGTATAGAATTCAACAGACCATTAACTTGTGAGTATGTCCCATTCTTTATTTTCCAAGTTGTCATTGCCCTCTTATCTCTTTATTGACATAGAGACACTAATAGCTCCAACTTGTCCTATTTCTTATATTAATATTTTTATAACATTGAGACAGGAGGTAGCTGGAAAAAGGTTAGGCAGACGAGACAGGCAGGTCTTCTGGTAACAATGTAGTGAACTCCCAGCAGGCCTCTCAGGCTCAGTATTGGTAAACAACTCCCTGCAAGCCTCTCAAGCTACAGCTAAAGTACTCACTGTTGGGATTGGAAAGCAACCAATCAGCTCACCATTAGGTCCCTACCTTAATAGTGACCAATCAGAACAACTGCAACTCACAGCTAGTGCTAGCCAATCGGCTTGGACTTAGAGCTATATAAGCACCAGGTTCAACCCCAGATGGGCCACCCTTTGGACCCCCTCCTGCTGTGGGAGCTTTTCTGTCCTCAAAAAATCCTGCTTTCTCACCTTCCTACTGTCCATGTCTCTCATTCTTCCTGGCCATGAGACAACCTTGACCCTGAAGAGCTGCCGAAGATCATCAGAGTCAAAAAGTTATGCACCCCAGAGGCTGGCTTGCCAGCTGACAGAGCCAGCTGAACCAGGAGAGCTGCCAGAGGAAGGCGAGACTCTGAAGCTGAGGCATCAAAGGGGCTAGGCTTGCCAACCCACCAAACCAGCAACACTCTCAGGGTTTGGCTTGCCAGCCCGTTAGAGCCAATACCCCAGGGGCTAGGCTTGCCAGCCCCTTCTCCCCAAATTGCAACACTCAGGGCTTGGCTTGCTAGCCCATTAGAACTGATACTGTGGGGTTAGGTTTACCAGTCCCTCCACGACCTTCTCTAGGGCTTTGCTGGCTGAGCCATTGAGCTGACACTCTTGAAGCCCAGGCTGACCTGAAAAACCTGCATCAATATCACTATTTTTCTAACCTTAAATGATATGCTGACCCACAATATCTTGTTGGGGGATGCAGACATATGTCCTGGATTCAGTGAGTGTAGAAAAGTCAATAGTATGAGATTCATGAGATGCAAAAGACCATACACATCAGGGAGATATCTTAGGAGATTTGTTTGTCATGAGAAACATAGTTATTTTTCTTTTTAAATAAAAATAAGCTCTTCCACATATCCAATATCACTGGGTTTAGACCATGAAATATAAGAATGATGGTAGCGCACGATGCTAGAAAAGGGGTACTCTATTTCTGCAGAGGTAATCTAGATAATCTGGCTTACATTTTTTTCCTTTAGTCAATCAATATTTCTTATATATCCTCAGTGAGAAAGAGATAGTTCTCATTAATGCCTTTGAATAATAAAAGAATCTAACTTTTTCTCAAGGAGAGAAAATGTCAACAAGGTGTTCAATGTGAACAGATTATTTTGAAAGAAGTAGCCATAATAAGCATTTTTTAATTACTACTTTTATGAAACTTTACAAAGCAGTACACTTGACAAGCTATATTAAATGTCTATTTATTGAATTCATTAATTTTCATGATTTCTAAGCTCTATAGCCAAAAGTATGATTTACTGAGAGAAAATAAATATTTACTCTGAAAGTAAGATATAATAGTGTTTTTAAGCCTCAGTCTCCAAAATATATACATTTGTCAAACAATTACTCATCTGATAAAGAAGGCCTGCTTGTACAAGGATATTTACCAATGTAAAACTCCATATAAAACTACATATTTATATTTTCATAACCTTTACATTAATTAAATATATTAAACATTTTTGCCACCTTATAGTCTTAGTTGCTAAAGAGATAAATGACCTCAATTGGCTTACTGAAAAATTTCAAATTCTTATACATTTAAATATTAAAGGTATATTTACAAATTAATTTCAATGTAAAAATAAATATATAAAGGGAAAATGTAAGTATTATTTTCTATGCATGTAAACAATTAAAATGTAAACAAAATTATTTGCTTAGTGTTTAAAACTAAAGTTTTATACTGATGTGTATTTCTATTTTACAATTTTATTGTAATTTGAGAGCTACTTATATCTTTTTAAGTCTAATCTTTACTATGTAATTAATTGCAGCACTTGGCTAATATGCTGTGATAGGTGGGTAGCCATCCCTGGAGCTGACCATGACATAACACCCTGAGTCTTTCCATGGTCCTTTAGTCTGGACACACACATTGCACATGAACATTCTTGCCACTCAAGAGTTGTTTATCATAAAACTCTCCTTCATCACTCTAGCTTTATATTTTTAGATCAGCTGCAATCAGAGTCCAACTAGCCTTGCAGTTGTAATATGCTATTTCCAATCACTTCTTCTCTTACCAACAGTCTACCAGTTTCATCTTCTGCCTGTAAGGGCTCACAGCATAGAGCACCAAAACCCATGATAAATAGAGAGAGAATATTGAAAACAAGATCTTTAATGACAGATTATGTTTACATCTATTGTCAGAGGGGAAGCAAGATGGTTTACATTTCTGATAAATGTTTAAATGAAATGAGTTAATTTCGTGTATATCAGATTGATTAAGATGGTGGTTCCAAATTTTGCTACACATTAAAACAACTTGGGGAGTTTTTGACAATACTGATGTTCATTTCCCATACTAATAGAAGCAGAATTTCTTTTGAGAGCCAAGATTTTGTATTTCAGTATTCAGTGGAACATGGAAAACACATAAACAGTAAAGTTGGTTAAGATCTACATAAGTAGAAATGGTTATTATTTGCTTTAGGATGCATAACGTATAGACAAAGGCAAAAGTAATTTAATCAATTATCAACCATTCTGTTATTTTTTTGTCTAAATTAAATTGAATCTGTGGCTTTAAAACTACTTATAGCTTTAATCAAATATGTAAATAAATAAACACTTATTTCAAAGTATTACTATCACATGCAATAATGGCACATATTGCTTCTATGCCTTTTAATTGAGTCAAACTCCATTTCCATATTCATCAAGCATTTATTTGAATCCACTTCAACATTGCCATCTACTGGCCTGTTCAGGAGTGAGTTAATGTACTGTCTCTCCCTCAGAAACAACTTTCTGAGAATAAGTAGACAACAGTTTCATATCATGTATATCTTGCTTTCTACTTCAGCCTTATATTTTAGTGTATCTGGTTTATTTTTCCATTTCAAATAATATTATCATGCCGGGCTCGGTGACTCAGCCTGTAATCCCACACTTTGGGAGGCCTAGGTGAGTGAATTGCCTGAGCCCGTGGGTTTGAGACCCGCCTGGGCAACTTGGTGAGACCTCATCTCTACAATAAATCAAAAAAAATTAGTTGGGCATGGTAGCGTGCGCCTGTAGTTCTGGCTACTTGGAAGGTTGAGGCAGAAGGATCTCGAGCCCAGCAAGTTGAGGCTGCAGTGATCAGGAGTGGCCACTGCACTCCAGTCTGGGTGACAGAGTGAGACTCCAACTCAAAAATAATAATAATAATAATAATATCTATGAGTAGTTACCATATCTGTAAAATTTATTTTATTTTCCCCATTTTTTGCTTTCTTATAAGAAAAATTAATTTTAAATTGCCATTTAATTTTCTATTTAATCTTTTACAAATAATCTATTAATACTATATTAGTACAACATATTTGTTATTTTATATGTAGAAATTTACCAAACTTTTGACTTTTATACGTTAATTTAATTTTCAGTGGATTCGTGTGATAGATATTATTATTGTACTTTGCTGCTATTAATAAGCTCAAATTTCCCTGTCATATACAAAACTGGAACTTCAATTCACTTATCAGTGTGTGAAACATGAAATAAATTATGCAGGAAGAACTGAGGTCATAAAAGTAAACATCAAAAACAGACTTCTCACTTTACTTATTATCAATATTTTTATCAATTTATTATCTGATGTTTTCTAAAATATGTTTTTAAAATTATTTCTTTCATCTTGTTTATGTCTTTTATCCACTAATAATTTAGATACATTGTTTTCCATAATTATTTAACATTTACATATTGAAATATATAAATCTTAGTAGTTAGGCAAACATGTACATAAGTTGTTTCTCTGAAATATAAAGGGGGTGATTCTAAATTCTAGACTACTAAGCTATAATCAAACCTTAGGACCATGTTTACATTAGGTTTTACATGGTCTAAGGAGATATTCATTCAATTTTAGCTGTAACTATGTGTATGTCAAAGTCCCCTAGCAGTTTCCCTCAACTGCCAATCCCAGCCCCTGTGCCCTGATAGTTTCCCACTACAAAGGAGACACATCAACAGGAATGGTTTGAGAAGCTCACAGAGTCTGTACCAGAGCTGACTGGTAAAGATCTTCACCTGTAACAAGTCATTCTATAAAATCTGAGAGCTATGGCTGTTTGTTCAAGTCTCTATAGTTAAACAGAAGAATGCAATACATATAAAAACACAGGAAAACATTACACAATCAAAACAATTAAAGTTATTTCAACCTTAAGTAAGAGAAATCTGTGAATTACCTGTCACATTCTGCTTTCTCTTCAGATTGTATAAATCCTTTATCTTTTGCTATAAACTACCTGTCAAAAAATTCAAAATTGTCATTTTAAAGATGAT